GCCGATTCATATGAAAGCAATTAATGCTTATGTATGTTGGTAGGCAGCAAACCCCAATCGAAACAGGAAATAGTATCGCAGGGTTAGATTTCTGATATGAATAAATTACCTACCAATATAGTAGAGAAGACGTGTTCAAATCGTATAATCGTAGGTGTGGCCAGTGATTGTTTGATTGGGGGGTGCGAAACTGCCTTCAGTCAGGCGCAACTTTATCAACCTCAATAGTGCAAAGTGTATGTGGCATCGAGTTTGCGAGATGTTATACAGTTACATACCTCGCAATCATCGGCAGACCATGCCTGGGGCGAACTGAAACACATGCTGAATACTTTAATTTCGCTGTGTAATCAGGTGTCAACACTAGAGGTCGGGTGCGTGTTGTGGTTCTGGCGATTCGCCTCAAAGCACCGAGCGATATGGAGAAAGACATATTTAATGGTTGATGAAACTGAAAGCCGATGTGTCTAGCCTATGTGAAAGATATTATAGTGATATTGCCGATATTTATACTATATACTTGAACATCGTAAAAATATTTAGTGTCAGACTTTGCGCTGGGTCACCTGCTGCCCGCTGGGGGTGCCGGTGATGTGCCGGTGATGAGCCGTGTATGGACCCAACTTTGACCGACAAAATCATTGTAGCTACCGAACTGTGAATTTAAATTATGAAGGATTATTTTTTTGTCGTTCTTTTTTGCTTTTTGGTCCTCTGTATATATTTTTTTGTGGCTATTTTTTTTAAACAAAACGAGCTAAGTTTTTTAGTTTTGTTTTTCTAAAAAAGATGAGGGGCCGGACAAAATAGAAATTGAGAAAACTATGGAAATCCGAGTGCTTTGTATATAAATAATGAAAAAGACTAGATCATAGGTTTTTTGTTCCATTTTAGAATGTTTAAAATTTAGAAGGCTATTTATGTTTTTAAAGGCTATGGTTTTTGTGTCCCTTTTTTCATAGGGCTATGGTTTTTGGATACAATTTTTTTTTTAAAAGTAGATTCAAATTGGAATCAAGGATCTTTTGAACAACTCCATAGGTATACCAGACAAAATAAGGGGATGCTCAAAAATCAATATTTTGAAGCCGATTTTCTTATCAATATACCCAAAAATAGGCCACAAAAAAAGTGATTTTGATGATGATTTTGATGTCAAAATCATCCTTTTTGGGCCTATTTTTGCATATTGGTAAGTAAATCTGGTCGAAAATCTGATGTTGTTGCATACCTGTAATATCAATACTTTGAGAAATTAAAATACGCCATCGGCCATCACGAGGCGGTACTGGTTTATTCGAACTGACGTGCAGCAACTAAGAGGATGTAGACACCGCTAGTTTCTTGAGATGCTCCATGAAAACTTGGAGCGAAACGTCGTCTGTGATTACAGGCGCCTACAGTGAATTGGGGTGAAAAGAAATGGGACAGTCGCGGTAAGCAAACATGTGAGAAATCAGAGAAAAAAACTTAAGAAAATGTTCCGTAGAAAAACGAAAGATTATTGATCTCCGGCGCAGAAGAAGAAAGTGGACTTACTGTGGACGGGTCTCCTCCGTAAGCGAATGCATTGTTGTGTGTTTGGGAGGGATTGACCTTCGCGAGCAGGAAACGAGCTTGTGAGCCACCCTCGTCCGTATCGATGAAACGAGGAACGGGAAATCTTTCGCCAATGATTTCCTGAGATGAGTATGTCAAAACAATGGTTGGTCAGTTCTCTAGAATCATACCCTACATCTCTAGACAAACTTAGAGGTTAAAATGGTCTTGATTGTAGCTACTGTTCGTATCGAGAACCTAAATTCCAACGACTCACCTTGGCATCTTTCACCGGCTCTTCGAGGAGTAACCGGAAACTTTCGTACTCAGGCTTCTCTTGATATCCAGCTTTACGCCATTCCGCGATAGTTTGTCCGTGCCAAATTAGGATGTGGAAGAACGAATCGAGGAGAAGAATTCGATCCTGTGCTCCGGAGAAGACAAAGCAATCATGAAAAACTATATCTACCTTCAATGTCATTTTGAATTAGAAAAAGCCTACAGAGCTTCCAAAATAATGCCATATTCTGCCATCTATGATATTTTTTTATCGTAATTGTGTTGCTTACCATCGAGAATATTGAGGGGGGGGAAGGGTGGTATAAATAGCCTCGCATATATCTTGAAATGTGAGTCAACAGAACACGTGCTCCCTTTTTCCGCTGGTATGGGCAGCCTAGTTTCGCTTGAGATGGCAACAGCGCGAAATAACTTGGTTGACGACAATGAGAGAGGTCTGTGGGTGCAAATCTTACCTTTTGTATAGAACTCGAGTCAAGCATCACAGGGGCGGGCGGGGCGTTGAACGAGTAAGAGATCAGCGAAGGCTGAATCATGACCAGAGAGTCCATTAGATCCGATTTGACGAGCTTATTTCTGTTAGCAGGTAAGTACGAAGTTGGTGTGTACGTGAGTTGTATAACTAAAGCAACATGCCAAAGCTCAAAGTATTATTTATACTTGATCTTTTCTGGAACGAAACGAGAAGAAGAACATCAACGACAGTTGCCAAACATACCTGTAGTACGTAGTCTCATCCGGGGAATTGTTGAATACAAGCAAGAATTGTGATCTTCGCAGATGGAACATAAATTGCGGATATAAGGAGAACAGCTCAGAAAGGCGGAAGGACATAGGCTGATCCTTATTGTATTCTCCGAACTTTTGACACTGTATACACGCGGTGAGAGAAAATAAAATAAAGATCTTCAGATAAGTAAAACTATAACTCAGCCCGGATGAGATGGATAGGCAACCGTTAAACGGGAACATCTCTACAAGTCTATACAAGACACAAATATCATGGTAAAAAAAGTAGTCATATTGCAACGCAGATAAGTGCATACACCAGAAATACTGCATACTGGGTGTATACATACCAATCTGATCAGCATACGATCTAGCCACCGAAGGATATCAGCACCTTCATCATTCTCAGCTCTGAACACAGCTATTCTAGCCATCAGGGCTGTTGTTGCTTCTTGATCGAAACCCGATGCCACGTACTGTGGATTCTGCTGTACATCAATCCAGCTGTAATCGATCGAATACGGTGATCCTCGCATTAGTACAAAACTCGCACATAATTCTGTCAATATACGCGTGGGCAAGGTTGCAGGCCAATATTCGCAAACTCAAATACGAGTGTGGTCATTCGCAGCTAAGAAAAAAAGGGCTTAGGCCTTATGATCGATACCTGCAACAACTACAAAAAGGAACACTCTGGATTCAGAAAGCATTCTTCGAATGATTGGCAGTTCATTACATACGTTCTGGCAGTGGTTGTCACACGAACTCTCTTAGTTCCGTTGCAAGCCTGGTAGGAAGTGATGATCTGGACCATACCACTTTGCGACTGGATAGGTTGGGTGTGCGGATTGCTGACTTCGAAAAACAGGGCCATCGTAGTCATCGGATCAAGACCACAAATTTTCCAAGAACTCGTTTCTCCAATACCGATTTCCTGGAAATGAAGGTACAGATATGCTCGCATGAGACTGAGTATGAAAAAATGATCACTTTATAATCTGGGAGTTGGGAAGCAGAAATGTGCAGCCAGATGTTTACAAGTTGGACCCATAAATTGAATGTTCCTTTCAAGTAAAGAAAGCAATCTTCAAAGACAATTGTAACATACATATATGTACTGACAAAAATAAGCGATGAGTATTCTCGTACATTTCTATAACAGTAGACTACCATGAGAATTCTCATCATATACTAGAACACTTACATTTTCAGACACCGATGAGCCTTGCTGTTCGTTCGATATACAGGTGCCGATCACACCACAAATTTTCATTTGAGGTGAGCACTAATGAAGTAAAAGAAAATTAAGATTATACTTATGGGGGTAAAGAGTTAACCTAGACGCTTCAGTTTTTTGCGATCGTATTGAAGATGGCCTAATCACAGTAGAGGGTCAGGTTACAAGAAAGCAAAAATAGGAGTAAAGACTCCACCACATTCCGATACTAAAGCACACATTTTGATGAGATGACGCTTTAGAAACAGCAACGAGAAAAATGACGTTCGCGCTTACCTTCACATCCATACTAGCATTGAAAGCCATTTCATACTCTCCCTTGCTATTCTTCTGGAATACCTTCGCATATGTTTGTTTAAATAGTGATGACGTGAACGAATCTCCCAGGACTAAATGCCCGCCAGTAAAATTACAAAGCGATTTCATCTCTGCCAGACCCGTCTGCCATGATGTGAATAATGATCTAATGATAAGTTGATATCCGCGAGAAACCCCGGAGTGACGCAGGCAATAATAGTTTAAGGAGAATAGATACGTAGACCGGCAGGAGGTACGCAACGATGGGAAGTAGTGGAGTACTACGCAATCATGGCGACAGCCGCTTGGCGTGAGATATAGGATTATCCAGACGACTATACCTGATCTAGGGCACAGGAGTAAATGTCGACCGCATGACCGTTCTTCGCTGTGCGTGCTGCCAACGAATTGTAGTATTTGACCGCTTTCCGCATAAATGGCAAATTGTCCTTTTCGATGTCGGTGTGTGTTCTGATGGTCTCGCTTAGTAGAGGTGCGGCACACTGACCCGGGCCCTTAATAAAATTAAATGCAGTATAGCATCAGAATCGCAGTATATATAGCCGACTATCGATATCAAGCCCTCATTCCAGGCTCAAAAACGTCCAAATTTACTTTCTAGCACGGAAAACTGCCAAAAGCTCTGCATACAATGCACATGTTGACTGCTGACGTTAAACAGGCATGATTGCTCACTTGACATACAACTCACCTCCGTGCATACGCCCCCAATAAAGGAGAGCACCTTCGCGCCCATATTTGGGTACATGGACTCTAAAATACCAACGGCCACGGCCATCGCAGCGCCAGTTGACCGCGTAGGTCTGTGTCCTTGTGGAACAGCCCATGGATCGGGTTGCAATTCCTCGATTATGCTCGTGAGAACAAAGTCGCAGCTATCTAACGGCTGCACAAATCTTCCAACTTTCGGTGTGGCAGGTTGCGCCTGTTGCGGGTTTTGTGGGTTGCCCTGCACAGGCGCGTCTGTGATTGAAGTGTTGGCACTTTCTTAGTACAAGAACAATCGCGAGGCATGGTGCGTTCATGCAAGCCGCTGTGTATCAAGCTGAAGCTGTACCCTCAAAGTATTACCAGTACATACAGGAACTAGCAGCCCGAAGATAAGTATAGACAAGCTAACAGCCATAAATTGCGCACACCGCTAAAAAGAATTACAAGCGATAGATCGTTGCGAAAGCCCCTTTGATGACACATTCGTTCTTGTTTTAAAGAGCACACCTGAGGATGAGTGCAATAGCTATGGCATCAAACCCACTCTGCATGCATAAATGTACAGCTGGCACAACTGTGACGCATTCAGAATAACAAAAGTGTGGCAGTGAGCAGTTATGACATACTGTGAAGCCCAAGTAGAGTTTCGATTTCTTTCGTTTCGTGGTCCTTGGAGCCCCTGAATACGTACGCCCTCGTGAAGCCATCTTGAGGTGCGAGCTCGTGTACCTAGAATAAATGCGAGAGACCATCCGATATGATAGGTTTGGTTTGTAAAGCAATACAAAATCTAGGCTATTGAATGCGCGATTTTCTTCAGTCCGCAGAACAAGCTATGCGAAGGTGGTTCAGTCCATAGTTGTGCAAAAAAAAAAATGATCGAAGCTCGGGATGGAATTCAAATCACCTAGTAGAAATTTCGTCAAGTATAGTTCAGAACCGTCAAAGAATTAGAAACGACTTATATTTTTATGTAAGTATATACATCTCCATAGCGAGTTTATGCGTCCGCACTCAAATTGATGGTCATATTTCCTCTATGAATGAAAGTATTTGTAACCTGTATGACAGTACATATGACATAATGACGGTCTGAGGCTATGTCGCTATGAGTCCTGAGTGAGAGTCCCTGACGACTGACGAGAAATGGTCAGTGGATGTCCTTTGCGTGCAAAGGTACGTCGCAAGCAAATCGACACTCACATACCTGCACATTGGTACCAAATGAAATCAAGCCCACCAGTGCATCTCTTGGCATCAAGTCCAAGGACATGATGAGAGAGTCCTTAAGCGACTGCATGTCTTCCGGCTCCAAACACGTGTCAACCACGAATATGAATACGGGTGGGTGGGGAGGAGCTCTCGGCAGCGTGTATTCGATCGTACTGTTGCCGATGTTGTTTAAAATGTGTTTGAGTACACCAAATAGGAAACGATCTATGCAATCTAGAGACAGACATTCCGTTGTAAAGCACTGGTGCACCGCACAACGCCTTTCATTGGACGCATTCTTTTGCAGCGAGGCAGACAAGACAGCACAAAAGTAAAGAGCGATGCATTACAGCTCGGTGTAATTTCATACCTGAACGTAGGAATCAATTCCATAGGCATATTATTCTCCGACATTCCATGGTAGTGCTGCGGGAACACATTGCGTACGAGACAGAAGGGACAGACCCAAGCCTTCTGAACGAAGTCTACTTGGCTGCATAAACGTGGAGTGAAATGATGAACCAGTTACAAAAAAAGTGAAGTCATTGATACTAAGTATACTGTGTTTCGCATTGGTACGCGAGATTGCAATGAGAATTTGGCATGAACGTGTGAGGACAATCCACTAGTAGAGGGATATCAACAATGCCGAAAAAAAATATGAGTTGAGTTTAGTTCAATCTCCTAAAGAGTCTGTTACACATAGTCTAAACAAGATGCTTATATTGCACATACCAGAAAGGATTCAGGATAGCCCCGCATTTAGGATTGCTGCAATGGATAGGATCGTACATGGCAGGTGGCATATCCTCTTTTCTCTTCAGGGGAGTGAACAGACAACCGATAGGAGCTGCATCCCGAAAACAAAATTTGTTTATTTAGCACGAAGATAATTGCCGCTAAACTGTACACAGGATCACTCACTGTCGTCGACTACCACATAGAAGTAAATATATACTGATTCCACATGTGTGGTTCCCAGCAGTGTGTGTACGCGAGACAAATCGCCATTTCAAACGTATGTTCTTATGTTAGTTTCATGTTCACGCGACTTGAAATTACATATATACTAGGAATGTATTACACTGCAAATGTATCGGAAAGAATCAAAATTTACCAAACAATACCTCTTTAGAAAAACTAAAGCGATGACATGAAGCCGAATTCATATTTGTTTATATTTCAATGATGTGTATCTAAGTGAACAATATATACATACATTTATATATATATATATATATATATATATATAAATATATATATATATATATATATACATCATAAATATATATATATATATATATATATATATATATATATATATATATATATATATATA